TTAATCTCCAATAAAAATTAATGATATGCTGCTTGTCGCGAGTAATCTGAAAAAAAAACTTCTGCCATGCACTAGTTTGAGTTTGATTATAATGGATTCTTGGGGGCAATGAATCATCACAGTTAATAGCAGGTTTGTCTTATTATAATAAAAGTCATCAAAAGTTAAAAAAATTAATTTCAATGAAGGGAAAGATGTTTGTGAAGTCAAAAAAAAGTCTGTAAATTCATGAAAGCTGTATCGAAAAGGTGAAAAGTTCACAAACTAAGACGTCATTGCTTACCTTTTAAGCAACTCTTCAACATTTCCACAAACTTTTACAACTTTTTAGCAAGGCTCTGTGATTTTCAAGGAACTTTTACGACATTGCATCCTACATTTACAACTTTTCAGGCGACTTTCAGCCTAATTTGAGTACGTTCAAGCCTTGACTTTCAGGCGAGCATTTAAGCTTGCAACTTATACTATTATAGTAAATTTTTAAACTAACTAAGTAAACTAACTATTCTTTTTTTTACAAAATTCACAAACAGTAACTGTTATCATTTTCCTGATCACACAGCATTTACTACTTCATGTTTTGCAATCTTTCATCCAAATTTACAGGCTATTTTGCCAATATTCCCTCAGGTTTTACGACTTTTCAGCCAAACTTTGTGACTTTGCAAACTATTTCTACAACAATCCAACCAACATTTGCGACTGTTACCACTTTGTAATTGTTTTCCTTTTTCTCGCAAGTATTTTCAACATTTCAAACAGTATCTATAAATTCTCAGCGAGCATTCACAAAATTGCAGCCAACTTTTTCTTTTTTCACAATCTTCCAACCAACTGTCCAGCAAGCTTGCAAGACTTAGTTATTTCCATGCAACTTTCACAATCTTCCATCCTACTTTACTGACATTCTGTGAGCTTTACCACTTTGTAGGCAGCATTTACTTTTTTTTCAGGCAACTTCTATCAAACTTTTTTGACGTTTTCGGCAACATTTCCAAGAAACTGACATTTTAATTACGACTATTCTATGCAACATCTGGAGTTGAAAATATTTAAAAAGTTGGCAGAAGTTGGCAATTGATAAAGCATACAATACACCCCTTGTATTTATGTAAATTAACATAAGTCTGTGCACTAACAATTACTGTATCTTACAATTTTATTGTTTTTTGTGGTACAAGTCAAGAACACTCCCTTGAAGGTGTAGGTTTACGATATAAATCATAGTTTTGTAAATTGCCTGAGCCCACTCACTCGATTCTGACCAAAACTGTGGATTTTATCTCCTAACTCAAACTTTCTTGTGGTGTTATATATGCAATGAAATTTTCAAATAGCAAATAGCTATGTATTTTGGTGTCTTTCAATCACACTTATAAAACAGCTGTGCATTACTAGTGTAGAGGCAGTGTCTGTAACCACACATATGTGTACGTACATCTGTAATGTGCTACATTTCACTGAAGTCAGGGATTATAATCTCTACCAAGGGTTTTCATGCCATGTCATGTAAAATAGAGTGAAATTACTATTGTCATGCAAATTCAAAATAGGGAGTTAGGTGTCTCGAAAATAGAACACAAATCTGAGAATATGGAATGGCAACTTGGGTAGCTTTTTAGTAGCAGTAGCAAGTCAGTGATGTTATGTTTATTTAAATTGACAACAGTGATCAGTGTATTCAAACTATCTCACATACCATTCACCACAACATTGTTTGCACACTGCTTGTCAGTCCAAAATACACTTCTTGGGCTCACGTTTGGAACCTAATTTGTCTCCACAGGATGTCCCTATACAAATGACAAACTATCAGCCCCACAGTCGACTGCAAACAATAGCCACGATGTGTTAAGTGCATATTAGTACCATTAAGCAAGAATACAAAACCACTGTTGTCAGAAAATACTTTGATGATTTTTAGCTTCGCTGTCGACTTTGTCGAGCGGAGCTTATCATATGAGATATTGTCTGTCGGCATCCGTTGTTCGTGTTAACTTTTCACTTTATAGACTTCTTCTTGGAAACTACAAGCCTGCATGCTTTGATACTTGGTGTATATGTACCTTGGGTAGACTTCTCTGAGATTTGTTCATTTCATGATGATATCTATAATTCTCTAATTTTGGTGGTCATTTTTGGTAAAAAGTGATATTTTCGACTTCTTGTTAAAAACCTCAAATCTGATTGCTTTGATATTACATATATAGGTACTACATGTGAATCTCTCTTAGATTTATTCATTTTCTAATATCTGCAGTTCTTAATTGAAATGTGCATTGGTAACAGCAGAACTATCTCAGCCGAGAGACTGCTTGTTTTATAAATGTGGTAATATTGTTGATGGTGTGTACATGCAGTAGAAAGCAAATTTGTTATTGACAGTGGACTACAATGAGACTAATGTTAATTGTTTGATTGTAATTCTTTATTAGATTAACAATTTGAAAACAGAGTTTTAAAAGAGGCATATCTATCTTGTTTGAAAAACATTCCTGTTATGTTGGTGTATTGTAGGTTTCAAATCTTGTCTTATTTGAGTTATAAATGAGTTAATACCAAAATAAAACATTTTTAACTCTTATCACATATTACATCATTTCTACATTTTTCCTTTATAAGCAATCATATTAATATCAATTCTTGTATTGCTAGTTTACTACATCACCTACTAGAAAGTCTGTGTAAATAATAAAGTTCATTTATTTCTCGTCGGCTTAACTACAGATTACAGCCCCAATCGGAAACTATTAGGGAATATACCCCATTCACAAAGAACACCATAGGGTAGTATTCCCTATAGAAAAAAAGGCCTCTCCTAAGGGGTCACCCTCAGGGTACTCGCGCTCATGAGGCCCAATCCAATTAATCTCTTTTATTTCCGCGACCAACGAGTACAGATATACAGTACATGGACAAAAGTGCAGGTTACAGTTTTATGACTGAGAATCTAGTATTGGTGATAGACCTAATTACGCTAAAGGCTTTCCATTATTAGGGCCCCCTTTTTTTTCCCTGTGTTAGTTGAATTGCTGGCTCAGTTTTTATTCACCCGGGTTTCGAATTATGGCGCGGTGAATTTGCTCGTTTTTTCAACATCTAATTTTTCGTGGGGGCCGGGACAAACCCTTTAGAGACTGAGCCGGTTCAATTCGCCAAGATTTTATCGGTACTGACGCAGCCTGAGTGGATTGCGCAATCACAGGGACAGGCCCTGTTGCCTTCCTTTACCGGTATTAGTCAAGGTGGCAAGCAGCTCCCCCAGGGTGAGAGATGGCTTGGATCGCCTGTATGCGTAACCTGGCTCCAAAAGTCAACTCCCTTCGGCAGTCTCAGGGAGGGACACAGGCTGAGATACTGCCTGTCCCTCCACCACCAGGTGTATCATATTCTCCCAGTGATCTCTCCTTTAGAGGGTCAGTGGGGGGACAACTCACATCAGTGGAAAGGGAGCGTCCACTTCTTTTTAGAGGGAGCCTTCTCCCTGGAACGGATCGCCTTACGCGTCCTCTTATGTAACCCCCCCCCCAAAGCTCAGACTGACCAGGCATTGTTTCTTGCGTTTTTCCAAGTCGCGCAGGGTGTCCCCACTTATGACTCTGTGATGGGAGGGGACTCCAGTGGTATGCAACCCCCTTATGGGGGGGGCTTTGTCATTTCTCGTCCCCACTTTGTCGGGTCAGTCACAGGATACCCAACCAACCGGATTTAGTCCTTTACTAATATGCAGTTAAGGTCGAAGCTTGTGAACCGAGCAGTGACGGGCGTGATACTCTTGTTTCGTACGGGGCCGGTGGTAAGCCCACCCTCCTGGATGGAGGAGTTGCCTTTGGACCCGTTTTCATCGGTGCTCTCCCCTCCCACTGCCGGCATGGAGACCACACCCAATAGCCAACTCCCCTGGGTGAATCGATACCCCATTGGAGCTACGCGAACTGTCGATGGGTCCCCGGTGTGAGACACTCACGCGGTACCACAGCCTTCTCCACGAATTCCCCATCCTGATCCTGGTACCCATACTTTGGTAAGGCGGGTAGTACAGATCAGGAAGGCCACGTTGCGTGGTCATTTGACCGGCACCAGAGCCTACTAGTGCGTAGGTCTTTATGGGTTTAACTTGGACCCATCAATTTTATAGAATGGGTTTCTTTAGCATTAGAGTGCCAGCTCGCCTTGCTAAGTTCTGACCGTCTGAGTGCTCAGCAACGAACCTCGATCCTCTGGCAGATGGGCCAGTCTCTGGCGGCACAGAGAGTCGCTATGTGCGATATCTTGCAAGTCCATACTGCCCTCTTGGCAGGAGCGGTTTCGGCTGAGCGTGAGGCAGTTCTGGGTTTGTGCGCCTATCCTACTCCAGCAGGAGATTAGTTTGACCTCCTGTGGAGAAGGCCTTGGGGCGTGATCGGCTATTTGGTGGCCGGTTAGTGGATGCAGTAAATGGTTTGGCGGTTGCGGAAGATCAGCGTATCCAATTGAAGCAATCTTCCCTGTTGTCAAGGTAGCTAGTCCTTCTGGTCGACTGTTCAAATCAAAACGGCAAGGCAGCTCAGGTAGTAAGTCTGCCGCTCGGAGCCATAACCAGTGAGGATCAAAACGCTAATGGTCTCCTTCGAAGGGGCAGAAGAAGACTAGTAGCGGGAAGCGTCAGAGAAAGCCCAAGTAACGTGGCGTTGGTGGTGGGTGTTCTGACACTTCTGGGGGCCGAGGGCCGCAAAGTCTCTTTGAAGGCTTCTCCGGCTGCCTGGACATGGATGGGGGTATGACTCCGGGTCTCCCTCCCCAAGTTCTCGGGCTCAGTTTCCCCCTCCTCATCCTCCCTTTCGAGAGGAGGGGGAACACTAGCTCTGAACCCCCGTCTGCTCCTTTCCGTGGGATCGCGCCTTATGCACATACCAGCTTGGCGCAGGAGGGTTCCGATCCCAGGACCCCCAAAGTAGTGTCGCGTGGGTATCAGATTCCTCTCTGGTCTCCTCCTCCTCTGACTCCTCACCCTCCCTCAGGTTTTTTACAGAGGGACGAGGTCAAAGTGGAGGCGGTCCAACAGGAAGTAGCAAGCCTTCTGGAGAAAAGGGCGATGTGCCTGCCCTAGTGGGGAACCCCCGTGTATCACCAGGGTTCTATTCCCGCATCTTCCTCATTTCGAAGAGTGTAGGGGTGGCGTCCAGTCCTAGACCTCAGTCGGCTGAACAGGTTTGTGGAACTCAAGCACTTCCGGATGGAAACATCGGCTTCGGTACTTCTGTCAGTGCACTCGGGCGATTGGTGGGCGATGCTTAACTCCATATTCCCATTCACCACTCATGCAGCCGGTATCTCAGATTCCCATTATAGGGCAAAGTTTACGAGTTTACCGCCCTCCCCTTCGGTCTGTGCACAGGCACTGTATGTCTTCACTAGAGTGCTAAGACAGGTGACCCAGCTGCTACACCAGTCGTTGGTCTATCTGAACCCACATCTCGACGAATGGTTAGTACACAACCGAGACAGGGAGGTCTTAGTGGAGCACGTGCGGTTGACGTGCAGGATCCACATGTGAACCTGAAATTTAGGGTTCAATCAACGACCCAAGCGATTACGGCTCTCCTTTGGCGGAAGGTCGCATGGTACTTGGAAACAGGAACACCCCTAGTTCCAACGACTCTCTCGCTGACTCTCATTACAGATGCATTGCCCCAGGATGGAGCAGTCATCTGAATGACCTTCAGGTCCAAGGGGATGTGGTCGTCCGCATATTGGACCGCCACATCTTTTTGTTGGAGTTGCAGACCGTCCCACCGTCTGAAAGTCGCACACCACCACAGAGTCCTGCTTCGGATAGACAACACCTCAGTAGTGTCGTACATCAAGGAGGGGAGGGACGCGTTTTCCCACATTGTCGAAGTAAGCGGAGGAGATTCTCCTGCCTGGATAACCAGGTTGAGCTTTCGGCTTACCACCTTTCGGGGATCCGCAACAGCGGCGGGCGCCCTCTTGAGACATATTCGGTTCCAGAACACTGAGTGGCAGACCCCTCCCCCAATGGGTGGCGGACCGGCCGTTTTGTCTCTGGGACGGGCCCTAGATAGTTCTGTTTGCCAATCACTGGAATGCCAAGCTCTTGACGTACGTGTCACTCCTCCCGGAGATGAGCGCTTTCGCTACGTACAGTCTTTAAATCTCTTGGAGTCGCAGGGACTCTTACGCTTTTCTCCTTCCAACTCGGCACCAAGTTTTGGAGAATTTTTGACTCAAGCCCACCTGTCTTCTGACCTGGGGGGCGCCTAATTGGCCTGTGAAGGTCTGGCTCCTAAAGTTGCTGGAACTTATCGTCGAGTCTCCCATAGAGTTGCCGGATCTCCCGGATCTGTTGTCCCAGCCGAATGGTACTGATGAGCCCCGGGCTATTCCATATTCACGCATATAGGCTATCAATAAACTCGTGCAAGCAGTAGGCTTCTCTGCAAAGTTGTCCAAGTTCCTCGCTTTGGCACAGTCGGAAGGCACCAGACGTTTGTATGAATCCATATGGAGACCGTACATTGATTGGTGCGACGGAAGGGAGATTGATCACCTCAGTCCTTCTATTAGCAAGGTAGCCGATTGTGCCCTATATCTTCTGATCAGTTTTATTCCCAGTTTTATCAGAATCTGCTGGACTGAAACTGGTTTTGAGTTCCATTATGTTACAACTGTTTTAGTCTTTCCGCTCGAAGGGGCCACGCGTCTAGGGGCTAGCTAGTCCTCTTTACTGGGACTTGTCGTTGGTCTAACAGTGTTACGACACTCCCCTTCGAGTCTATGGATAAGGCAGACACTAAGTATGTCACTATGTAAACAGTTTTTCTTTTGGCTCTAGCGTCAGGTAGGCGACGCTCAGAGCTTTGGGACACTGTCCTTTAGTAGCGGATGTGCCTCCTTTATGAACTCGCAAGTTATTTTGAAGACTTGGCTGGGCTTTCTTGCCAGGAATCCCAGGACCTGAGCCGACCGTCATCCCACGCATCACTTACATAGTTGGAGGACTGTGTGAGACGGATTCTATGCCCGGTCGAAGCCCTGAGCTGGTACTGCGACCGCACCAAGGTGTCTAGGGACAGTGAGAAGCGCATGTTTGTCTGTTATGGGCAGAGCAAATAGAGCCACCCTGCTTTGAATATCACCATTTCATGGTGGAATGTTTATACAGTCGTGGAAGCGTTTATTGAACTGCTTCTTCATCGTTTCGTTTCGTTAGTGAGTAGTATTAGATTTCTCTCAGTTTTTTAACCTTTCTTTTTTGTGTCGAAAAATATACATTTCAGCCGTCGGAGCTTCCCCACCTCCAGTGAGCGTGCTACTATGCCTACGAGTAATAAATGAAATTTATTATTTCCACGGACTTTCTGGTAGGTGATGTAGTAAACTATTAGGGTTGTACAAACCCGTTTGTTTACCTAATCATACCTACCAGAAAGTCCATGGAACCCGCCCATCTCCCACAAGCTTCCGGCGGCCCGTTGGTGCAGCGGAAACGTTTGTGAGATTAATCGAATTGGGTCTCACAAGCGTGAGCACCCTGAGGCCTTAGGAGAGGTCTTTTTTTCTATAGGGAATATAACCCTAAGGTGTTCTTTGTGAACGGGCTATATTCCCTAATAGTTTCCGATTGGGGCTGTAATCTGTAGTTAAGCCTACGAGTAATAAATGAAATTTATTTTTTCCACAGACTTTCTGGTAGGTGTGATGGTTTGTACAACCCTAATAGTTTAACCCTTACACCACAAGTTCCCCTTTTCATCACAAATTCAAAAATGATTGAGACAAAAAAAGTTGAATTTTTGAGTAAAAATTGACTCAAATTTTGTCTGTTGGCTCCAAAAATAGGGTTAATTTTCAAAGAAAAAAGTACAGAACAATCTGATTGAGGAATTGTGGTGGTGAAAGGGTTAAGTTAGGGTTGCTGGCAACCAGGCAATAAATGAATATACAAATTAAACTTCATGTTTAAGAATATAACCTTCATATACTAAAATGATCCTGAGGATTATCGTAACATACACATGTACACAATTTTGAGTTGTGTATATCTATAATGTAATATGTGATAACTTAAAAAATATATCAAATGTCAACTTATATATTTATATATGTAATATGCAAGAATTCAAGGAAACAGAATGTTAATACATCTATTTATAATGTACGATCCCAACAAAAACTAAATATTAAATTGTATATAGATATAATGTAATAAAAACAAAGAAACATATATATTACAATTTATGACTAAAAACAAATAAAATGCTAATTTATATATCATATAGCATGTTAATACATATACTAATCTATCCCATATATTGTGTCAGCTCAGTGTAATAAATCTATGTAATAATTTATTTCACATTACTATGTAATATCCCGCCATTCTGATTTTTCATGCAAACATCTTTTGATGAATGCCTGACTATCGCAAAATATGGCATTATCTCTAGATGTTGGTTGTTTTACACAATATTCCCTGAATTATTAGACCCCGTTCAGACGCAGTCCGGAAACAGGAACTTATGGTCTGACCTCTGTGCATCCATGTGTCCATGTGTCCGTGTGTCCATGCGTGCGTCCGGACCCAAATCATAGACATGCCTGGACTGATTACATTCAAACTTCTCACATACATCATACATAATATTATAGATATGCACATCAATTTGTTTCACGATCTGATTCAAGATGGCTGAATGGCAGCCATTTACTTTTAATGAATGTAGTTCTAATGCCATATCTCTGACATAGCTTTGACTGATTTTGTTCAAATTTTATATATTCATTACACATCATGTCATAAATGTACAGATATATTTGTTTGACAATCTGATTCAAAATGGCCAAGTGGCAAGATTTGACTTAAAAATGTTATATATTCATTCTACATCATGTTACAGATGTATTCAAAATGGACGACTAGTGGCTATTTTGTTTTGATTAATGCTGTTCCACAGCAATATCTCTCGATATAGACTCCTTTGATGATCAGATACAAGATGACTGAATGTCAATCATTTCAGTGTTAACAAATCACCATAATCGAGCATCAACATCTGGATCCATATCTCTGACATGTTTATGTCTAAAAGGGATTGTGCCATGCGTAGCTTGTTATTAATTATATTAATTCAAATATTTCCATTTGTTTTTGATACTGACTGATACACATATGTGATATAATGTAATATGTAAAATATAATTATATGTGAGACGTTGTTTCAAATTCTCCCATGGCTAGTCGTGATTTGTCACGGATTGTCAAATGATCACTGTTTGAATGAACTCCAAAATTAGTAATTATGGAACCAATACATTCCTGTAATTGTAAATATAATAATGGCTCAAGAAATGACTATATTATATAATCGCAACATGGTAAACCGAAATTGTCATTCATGCTCGGTGATCACTCTACAAATTATGATCTCTGTCCCCATTTTTAGCCTATAGAAGATGTGGAATAGATACATGGGATGAAAAGGATATCTCAATTTGTGACACTACAATATCACATTTATTAAATTCTTATACATGTACTGTGAAATATTTTATTTTCACTTGGAATAAATTTTTCGCTATTTTTGCTGAAGGAAACGATTCAGTGAAAATAAAATTCAGTGAATATACCTTTTTCTTATATATTTACATTCAACTCGTCAAAAATCAGGATTCAACACAAAGAAGTTCGTTGATTCTGTTCTAAACATTTTGGATTTCGGCATTCCCATGATGTATCCTTGAAAGAAAAAGATGTATAATAAAAGATGTACAGCACGTTGGTTGATACTGTTGCTGTACTGTCTTTGTGCATATACTTGTAATAACCTCATATTACATTAAATATATCTATAATATAGTAGAATAGTGTAGAAATTATATACCCAACAATTAATCATTTTACATAGTATATAGGGAAATTTGCAAACCCAAGAAAACAAAACAAATGCCTGACGATCCAAAATTAACTGACAAATACATTGCACAATATAATCAAACAAGTATAACGTAAGATCCAAAGAAACATTAACTTGTTAACTTGTATATATCTATATTATTTTATGTAAAGCTCTCTGTTATATATCATTCATGTATTATGTAAGAATGAAAGAATTAAATATCTTTTAAAATTAAACATAAATATATTCACAATGTCAAAGTTGTATTCCCACTTCACAAATATGTGAAACATCTTTTTCAGAACAAGCTGAAAACATGAAATATGTTAAAAAAGATGCTGTTTTATGCTGTGAAATGTTATAACATATTATTACAGTAACAGTAAAGTTGTTTAGTGTGAAATATCACAAAATGATTAACTAAATGTCATCCTTTTGTGTGTGCTTGAACAAATCGTATGACGCACTGATTTTATCTCTACGATATGAAAATAATTATTACCGGTATACACATTGTGTAATAAAAATAACTAATATTGACAACTAGAATTTATTTTGAAATAAAAACTTCGAAAAGGAAGATAAAATATAAGTCATAACTGTTCTTAGACACCAGTCTAATTACCATACATTACCAGATGGTTTGTAAAACATAGTATGTTGTTTTCAAACTCTGAGTTACTTATTAAGTGATATTACAATGTACTTTTTTGTAGAGTTGGTTAATCGATTGCGTAGTTCCTATTATTTCGTTTGTCTCCATCCTTGCCTTATTTATAAAGCAATTTTGAATAC